GGCTGAGAGGAATTTCTTCTCGCTTTAATTGCTTAAGAAACGGTTCCCACAATGAGCTGTGGCCTAGATTTGCTTCTCATTTGAGTTCTGATTTTTAAAAGTTCACAAGTTAATCCCCTTTCAGTCTCACACGAATGCAGTTGGCATAGAGGACAAAGTACTGGACAATGTCTGGAACATTTCAAACCAAAAAAAGATGCCCCGTCCCGAAAAACAAAACAAAACAAAAAGAAGTGGCCTTGATTTGGTTAAGTAGCTATTTTAAGACCCTGTTACCATTATAATTTGAGGTGACTATAAATCATTTTGAACTGTACCTGCCACAGATGCAAGGAGAGAGAGCTTGCAGTTGTTTGCAGTTTTCTATACGGTCCATATTCCAAGGGGTTAGACAAAAAAATAACTTTGGCGATCTAAAAATTAATTTGCGAACGTATTTAGAACCTCTTGCTCCCCTGATTAGGATGCAAATAATTTACCAAAACTATGAAAGAAAGAGAGAGAGAGTTAGTTGTGTGTGTTTAATGCACTAACTGTTTAAAGCTTGAACAATTTGGGGTGTTTTTCTCCAGCTGATGCTGAACCATTAACACAAAATAATTTTCTCTTCAACATATGATTTTTATATTTGCTGGGTTAAAAAAAACCAACCACCACCACCACGAAATAGGGAACTTATGTCAAAATTCACTTACAAATGGGAGAAAAGCACATACATTTCCTCCAACCTCATGCCGTGCTTATTCCACTGAAACTTTACATGTAGCAGTTTCAAACGGAAAAGAATCAGTTGTATTTAACTTCTAGCTATTCAGGTGGATGTGGATTAATATTTACACGCACACAAAAAAACCCCCGGAAGGGTCTATAATCACTTAGCAAAGATGGAATGAATAGTCTTGAAAGGTGAGGTTTTTTTAATGACTAGACCCAATCAGTTAACCAAAATATTCCAGTTAATATTAATAAAATATTCTTTCCAACTGGAGAATGAATAGATTTTTTTTCTCTCTCAAGCTTAAGATCAATAGCGTTTGGAGCGTGTGTGTGTCTGTGTGTGTGTGTGTGTATCACTTTGGGTTGCAGAGGAAAACGCTCTAAATGAACATTTGCAATATTTGCTCCACTCCTGTTTTTTTACAATGCTTGAAATAGAGATGTATATTTTTTTCCCCCAAGAAAAACAAAAATCCTGTCGCATGGACTTTAAACTGAAACTTTGTAGAGCAACTTATTTCCCTGGGTAAATAAAAGGGGAGGGGAGAATCGACAGGGAAGAAATGTTTTACCAAGTGTCCCAACAAAATGAAATCATTTTTCAAAACGAAAACAAAGTATTTCTGACATTGTGTTCTTCTTTACTGTATAAATCGCATCCCTAGCGAGCTACAATGTACCAGTGTTTTAGAGGCAAACTGTGTCTATTTTCAATATAACTCTCTTTGGTTTATTTGTGCGTTGATATATTGCCCACATCTCTACATTAAAGCAGGGCATAAATACAATAGATCAGGTAGAACAAACTAGCCAGAAAGAACTATTTAATCAAGGTTTCAGAGTAGCAGCCGTGTTAGTCTGTATCAGCAAAAAGAAAAGGAGGACTTGTGGCACCTTAGAGACTCAAGTTACTCCCTCCAGTATATGCTAAATATATCGTTCATCTATTTGTCTAAATACGCAAAGAATTAAATGGAGCTAGTTACTTGTAAAGGTTGAGTTAAAAGCAGAAATCTGTTCATTTGATTTGTGATGCTGCACGTACACACTGGGGCGATATTTACTTTTCGGTTACCCTTTTGTCATTTCTTCTGCAAGAAAAAACTTAAAGCCAGCTAAAAATATCCTTTTGTCAGGACCTCCAGTTGCTAGGGAGAGAGAATATCGGGGATCCTATGCAGGGAGAATTGGGAACTGGGCATTATTATTCTGAGCTCTATGCAACAGTTCCGCCACCATCGATTAAACCCGTGTCATGGGCTCCCCACCTTACCCTCAATATTCAGTGACAGGAAGAGAAAGGGGACGACACCAAATAAATGAAAGGGCTCAAGTAAGTTGTTACAAACTTCCCAGGCGCTGTTATGCCCAGGAGAGAAGGTGGTTTGGAAAAGAGGGGGAGGACAGTGTCTTCCCAAATCCGAGATGCCCCTGGCACAACTCCCATTAACTACGCGTCCCCAGACAACCAAAAGTTCCTTCACCAGGGATTTTCTTGGGGCTGGTGTGGAGGAAGGGGGGGGGGAAGGGTCATGGCGATTTCGTGTGTCGTTTTGAAGAAAACGATTGATTGGGACGTGTCATATCTCTTCGTGCTCCGCCTATGCCATTGCCAGGGCATTTGATGAACTAATTTTAATTCACTTGAGTTGAGAGGAGACTGTGATTTAAAAACCGGGGAGAAACCTTGGCCGTTTTCATCCTAGAAATTTAAAAATCTACTATCTAAACGCGACCTTATTTGGTTGAGGGTGAGTGGGTAGGCGCTTAGTTCCTCCGCTTTATGGCACCGTTCATCGGGGTGACAAGCACTTTGAACCAAACCTTAATGTCTCGTTTTTTTAAAAATCGGTTTAAAGTACAGGAGCTGGTGATCATTAATAATAGCAACAACAACAAAAAAAACCCCGCCAACACCCTGTGTTTTGGTTCTCTTTTGCTGGGAGCCTGTTTGCCGCATGCAAACACTGCGGGGATGCTTTCTAGGGGGCACGTGTAGGAGAGAGGGAAATTGACACGAAAGGGATTAAACTCTTGGGTACCCTTCCAAGTGGCCCCGTTTTATTTCGCAATCGGACTCTGCCTGGCCAGAGAGGAAAATGTAAGAGTCGACGCTACGGGAAGGCTGGGGTTTTCCCCTCTACAAAACTGCCTAAGAGGCATGCGGACCCGTCCCCACCCTGTGTTCTTTGCACACCCACCCACCCCACAAGTTGGAAGTTGGGGTGGGGGACACAGGCGAAACTCAAATATCCCACGCACCACCTCCGGCTGAGGTTTGCTTTGCCTTTATTCACCATTCATACCCTGCCCTCTTCCAGCACGGGCTGTATGTGAATATATTTAAATAGATTTCCCCCCCCCCCACCTCCTTCTGGGATATTCACTCGCTTTCCCCATCCCCCGGCAAAAATGACCCCTTGGGTATTCTGCGGCCCTGCACATACGAACACTTTCAGATGCGCCCCTCCCCCCTCTTTTGGGGCAGAATGTATACAAAATATGCAAACTTAAATTAAAAGGTACTTCCCTCTCCCCCTTCCCCCCACACCCCTTCTTTCTTGTTCCCTTAATTCCCTTGCCTAAACGGTTTTGCTCTGGGAGAAAAAATCTTTTCTATAGAAGGGAGAGGGGGGGAAAAAACCCTTCAAGAAGAGAAGGGTATTATTGTTTTAATCCTCTTACCCGCAGTCATTTTAAAACAGGGTGTTTTGGAGCCTGAAATGGCGTCTTGTCTCCTCAATCCCATCCTAAATCCTTCTGGGCTGGGAGAGAATCGAAAGGCAAGTACCCTAGCATCTATTAGCAATCCCTCTAAAGGCTTTAAACTGCTCTTTGCTGCTGCAAAGGCATGACAAAGCTGAAAAGCAAATAAAACTAACGCTCCAGTTAGTCAACTCGGCCAAATAACTAGCCCTGAGAGCTGCCTTCAGACTGCAGACAGCCTGGAAGATACCTGCAAAGTTTAAGTGCAGGAGTATTCAGGGGAAAATGAGAGTAAAAAGCACGGGGAGAAAATATTAATATTTATTCCCTTCACATCCAGGCACTTAGCCTCTCCTATTTAATTTATTTTTCCTCCCTCTTGTTCCTCTCTTTGGACTGATGATTTGTGAAAACCAAATCTCTCGCAGTCTGGTTGCGGCTTCTTTCCCTTAAGCAGGGGGCTGTATTGAAGTGGTCTACAAGTAACCACACATTCCCTCATCCTTACCTGGCTTGGAGTGTGCTCCTTGGAGGTCTTCCTACAATAGGGGAAGGGGCTTCGTTAATTTCCCCCCGGATCCTCTTTGTTTTCTTTTGCAAGAAAGAATGATTAAAAACAACTAAAACATCGACAATGTTTCTAATAGACCCAGACTAACCTCGACCTCTACAAATCTAGATAACCGCAAACTTCCCTGGGTTGGGGCTGTAGGATTCCCCACTAGGGCATAGGACAACTGCAAGTTCCACTCCCACATGGCGTGATACTTATAGAAAATATCCGAGATACACCTTGTTCCTTCTGCTTTCTCGTGGACACAGAAGCTGCGTGTGAGGGCAGAATCGGCCCGTGGTATAACAAACGTGTTTACATCCCAGAGCCTGTAGAGATGGGTGGGCCTGGCTTTTTTAGCGTAGACCGGGCCAATGTCTTCGCGGTGTGGGAAATAAGACAGCTGTGTTCACTGAAATTTAAGAAAGTGTCCAGAAGTTTGGTTTCCACTGCGATCCTGCGAGGAAAGAAACCAAACTGGCCCCTTTATTCATATCTGAGGGCATTATGGACGTTTGGATTTTCCCCATAAAGCAGGAGTCTACCTTAGAGTCCTCCTGATGCCTAACCTCAGCCAAAAGGGGTGTGTGTGTGTGTGTGTGTGTGGACATGTTTATAAATATGTACACACGTGTCTCTCTGTGTGTAGGCATGTTTATAAATATGTACTCACCTTCCCCACCCCAAATCAAATCTATGGCCCAGATTCGTCACATCCAGCTCTCAGTACCTATACACAGGACAGAACAGTCTCCCCTCCTCCCACGACTGGCTTCCCATTATCTCCCAGTCATTGAATTAGGCGTTTACACCTGACTAGACTTGGAGTAAATGACTGGTAAGAAGTCTTATTAAAAAAAGAAAAGAAAAGAAAACCGGGGGTGGAGGGGAGCAGAGAGAAATGTATCCTCAAGCCCTGGTTTGATTGACAGGGTGAAGGACCATTGAAAATCTTGCAGGGTAGCTGCTAGGTCTGTGTGGAGCTCCTTTAAAAAATCCTTCCTCAATCCTCTCCCCCGGTAGATGGCAGCTTCGCTGGACCCTGAGACAACTTGGGAACAAGGCAGGAGAACAGAGGAAAGGGGGAGGCAGGGACAGCAAAGTGCTCAGACTCCTGCTCTTAAGGCACCACTCCGCTCCGCTGTCCCAGCCCCTCCGCTCCGAATCCGGTGTCTGGCTACACTCCGGAGTGAGACTTTACACCCGCCGCTTGACCGGTTCCACGGAAGAGATCCTAGGACAACATTCAAAAGGTAAGACGCTTTCTGATCTCCTCCAAGAAAAAAACCAGTCACCAGGCGCTTTAACTTAAGCAGTAGGCTTCTCCTTACCTAGCACGCATGGTTTGCCGCTATAGGCGATCCATAAGCGCGGAAAGTTTGGTTTGGGGTGAGGCATTTTGCAGAAGGCTTAAGGGGAGTTACAGAGCGGCTTCTTTCTATTCAAATAAAGTTTTAGGACACGTTTTAAGTGTAGAGTTGTTTTTTTTCTCCTTGTAGACACTTCAAACCCCTCCGGGTGTATTTGATGCCCTAACGAATCCTTTGAAGGAAGCAAATCAAATGTAGATGTGTGATTGAGGAAACGGGGGGGGGGGGGGAACCACTCTCACAACTCGAGTGCCATCAAAATCCTGTGCCATATGCTTGCCGATTTTGTGGAGTCTCTTAACTCGCCCCTTTGAGAGAGAAAGCTTTTTATTTGTTCTAGTTTTGCTTCATTTGGAATATATTAGTTTACTCCTAAATAAGGTTGTGGGGTATTTTTTTCTTTTTTTAAAAAAAAAGACAAATTTCTTGCAGGTTTTTAAATGTAACTTTCAGCAGATGGCTACGTGAATAAAATTCAGACTCACTGATTCGTTTAGCTAAAGGTTAGGTTACACCGCATGTAAGGAAGCAGGTCACATATATGGGTTTTAATGCTTCATTTCCAATCTCTGAATGTCTGTCAACCTTCCTAGTTTTGGCAGTTCCCTCTTGAGCGCTCCAGATACACAATTAGAAAAGTGAGAGAGGTTGGTTTAGGTTTGGGCTTGTCTGTAAACACACTTTGCTTTTACCGCTCGAGTCTCTCTCTTTCCTCTTTCTCTCTTGTCTTTTTTTCTTTTTTGCCAAAGGGCCTACATAGCTAACAACGCATCTCTTCATTTATAGGAATCAAAGTAGGAGACTGTAAAATTCACCCTATTTACATAATGATGTTTTAATAAGCCAAACAGCCTGGTGAGAGAGAGCCGGAGGCAAAAATCAGACAGATTCTGGGAAGAGACAAAAAGCCCTTTGCACAAGAAAAGGGGGTGACGGATCCCAGTGTCACTAAAGCTCAGCAGTGGTTGGGACAGGTCTCTTCTGCCAGGTGGGCATCCGAATGGGAGTGAACATTCGGATTGTGCGTCTGACAGAGTATAAACTAAAACGAAGCCCAAACTGATCTGAAGTTTAACACCGAATTTCCCTCCTCCCGTGCCTTTTAAATATAGGTCCGCACAAGTAATAGTGAGCCCTGCAGGGAAAGAACTGCTCTCTCGCCACGAGTTATCTAACGCAGAACTTGAGCTGGGAGGGTAGAGACAAGACTCCGAGAAGCGCTCACTTAGGATGTGTATAAACTCAGGATTTGCATTGTCAGGCGCAGTTGATAAATGAAGGGCTCTGCAGTCGAAACCTATTTGCACCTCCATTATCCGGCGAACCAAATGGGGATCCGCATGCATATTTTACCGCAAAAGATCTCATACATCTCAGCCAGAGTCTTCCCTCAGGCCATGGCATAACAGATAGAGCAGGGAAGGCGAAGGATGGGGGCAGAGGGACACGGCATCCATTCATCGCCACTGCTTAGGCAGGGAAGTAAATGTTTAGCCAAGTACCTTCTGTCTAGGCAATCGGCCATTTACACCCTCCCATTCATCAGCAGCACACATGTGCTGAATGCATATACAGGGTGGGGGGGGGGGGTGTGATACACGTCTCTCCCCTTACACACAGCACCATCACACGCGTGTGATTACAAGACACGTTACAGAACCTGCAAACGTGAGCATCTAAGTAACAGTGTCAAGTTCTTTAACCACCAAACTCGACCAGGCAGTGGGGTTCTCAGGCTCTGGGGGGGAGGAAGGATGGGGTACAGAAGGGACAATGTAGAACACACACGCCTTTCCTTTTTCTGAGGAGCTCTCCTGATACAAATCCTGAAAGGGGGGGTGCTCTCATGGGAATCTTTTCTCTGTGCCCTTGTCCTGAACGGGAAGCTGCTTGTGGGGGCGAGCCGACTCTCGGAAACTTTTGCTAGCTTCAGGAACAGGGACAAGTTGGAATCAGTTGTGCCTCTGAAGGGCAGTCTGCAAGCAGGCCTGCAGCTAAGTGATAACAGTTGGAATCAAGGGCTTTCCCTCTTAAGTGATACAATTATTAATCGAAGGGCATGCTTAATCCTAAAACGATCGAGCCGCTCCGGCTGTCTACTGCCAGGAAACTTCGCGGCCCCCCGCAGAAAAGGTCCCGAGTTCTGGTTTTAATTCGAAATGTGCACGACTTGAAAAAAAATTAGCTTAAAGCGAACAACTTGGCCGCCTCTCTCTGACGCACCCAGATCAGGTGGGGAAACAACATAAATCCTCCACGTAGGCGCAGAAACCTCTGCCAGATGTAACTCGTCAAAACGATGGGAAACGACGAGGCAAAGACCAATGCGCTTGCTTTTCCTGTGTAAAACCTTTATATTGGTATTTCTGATGTAAAGGAATCCTCTTCCAATAGGAAAAGCCCCTCCTTAGCCACATATTCTTATCTTAGAGCGATGGTTCATTATTCCAGCTACAGATTTTGGGGCACTTTTTGTCTATTGGACATTTCAGCCGAAAATATCCCATCTGTGCTTATACACAAACACACGGTAGCTTGAATGCACTTAAGCTTTCTCCAACTACCCCTCTTTTCATCTATCATTTTGTACATGTTTCTGTTGAGACCGATTTGGAAGTAAGACAAAATCTGTGTGTGTATACAATGATCGGAAGTGTGTGTGTGAAATACATCTACACACACTTATATGGAATATCATTTAAAAACGATTTCACTCAAGTCTCAGATTCACTTTTTTTCTAACATGAAACAGGAGACTTTATTTCTAGCCTTTTAAATTCTTCAATCCTTCCTGGGTGTACTTAATATTCACATGTAATTCTCTGGAGTGATTATTTAGATCTCCGATGAAGCAGTTTAGTTCAGTTAAGGCAGAACTATATATATATATAATTTAAAACAAAAGCCCCCAAAACAGTTCCCAGGCCATCACCCCAGATGAGGTGAACTTCTGACACTGTTGACAACTTAACAAAATAAAACCTTCAGAGAAGGAGAAAACCGAACTGCTAATGTTATAGTCATTTAAACTCAGCATACTGTTTGGGCTAAATGCATCCCCCAGCATCTCAATTTCATTTTAGGGAATGCAAATCTGGCAGAAAAACTTTTTCCATGTCTCCCTAAATTCAGGACGAAGTGTGTGGTGACTGGTGGGTGGGGGGAGGGGGGGAAAGGATAATTATGTGACAGTTTGAGGGTTAGCTCTCAAAATTTTACTCTAATCTGATTACACCTTTGAAGCGGAAACACCATTTTGTCCACCTCTTCAGAAAACACACACAACTGCTGTGATGCAACATGAGGACACTTTCCCGATCTTTGAACTGCTTTCTACTGTTAAATAATAATAATAATAATTAATTAAATCCCCTTCTGTTCCACTTGGTTGGCTCCTCAAGTTTTCCATGTAAATGACAGTAATAAATATCTAATCATGCCCCCCAGCTGTAGTCCGTTCTCTGAGCAGCCCTCATTAATGAAACATCAAGTCACAGAAAAGTTTGTTGGTTCCTGTAAACGATTTTTGAAACGTTATGAAAACAGTATTTAGGAAGTCACAAGAGGACAACGAAAACTGCCCAGAATTACAGTGCTGCTAATTTATTTTAAAACCAGAAAATGTGCATTTGGGACATTTGCCTCATGGCTAGTTTCGCCTTCTAAATTAGTGACAGTGTATGCATACGAATCATCTTCCTTTTGGCATAGACTGCAAACAGCCTTGAATCATTTAGGGATTTAAAAAAAAAAAACACACACAACCCAGCCGCCCTCTTTTGCAGTTCATCATTACGAATCTTTTAGAAATACCTTCAGAGCAAGCACACTTGTAGCACGTACCGTCTCCCAAACTCTCTCTTCTTTTGGAAGAAGGTTTACAGATAATTGCTAAATATACTGCTGTCAACGCACTGTTTTAAATCTCGTTATTCTAACTAAAAAAAGAGCATTCCCGGAATAAAACCCACAGAAATGAAAGGTAAGAAAGGGCTGCGATGTATTGCAAAGTCTATTTTCTTTTGCAAATGAGAAAAGCAAAGAATTAAACGGAGAGTAGACAAAATAAATGGAGACTAGACAAAACAGAGGACAAATACAGAAGAGACAGAAAGTATAACCCCCTTTGCTTAAAGAATAAACAAACCAGCTTAAATCTGCCCACGATCAGAACTGCACTTTTTAAAAGCATTTGAAACGGATCTCTTAAAACGAGATTGTCTCCAAGGGGTTTCTCCACAGAGAAGTGGCATGTGCCCATCAAAAGAATGGTTCCCAAACAACTAATAGGGCCGTAAAGAGCTTTTAATGCTGATGATGAGAAGGATAAGGCTAAAATTAAACCATGAGAGTTGGATTTGTTCTCCTCACGCTAAACAAATGGAGTGATTACATTTCTTTCCAAACGCATCAGTCACACTACATTAAGAAGCAGAGAGCTAATTATCCCAATTAGGAGGCTGATTTATAATTAATGGCTTGGACCAAGTGATAATTGGATGTTAATGGATAACAGTTTTGTCTAGAAGTAGCCTCTAGCTTCCCCTAAGGCAGGGGTTGAGGGTGGTTCCCCCCCTCCCCCATTCTCTCTTTCCTCCTACTTCTGCTGGCAGCACAAAGCAAATGAGGAAATAAATCTGTTATTAGCTGATTCAGTGATATCAATCATAATGGAAAGGGCTTGGGGGAATTGCTTTCAAGGCAGTTTTGTGGTTTGAGGCCTGATGCAAACAGGGAGCCAGAAGAAGTAGAATAAATACCAAGCAAAACTGCAAGAACAAACCTTCCAAGTCACTTGCCTACTTGGGATCCTCCCTAGCTTTGGGTGAAGTTATTTCAGGCGGACAGCCCAAGTCAACAGCAAATAGCCCCAGATCCTGTAC